TCTCTGACAAGTAAAGTCAATTTCGTACGACCAAACGAATTTTCTAAGTATAAAGTATGTAATTCAGTACCAGAATGACTGTCCCGGTTGAATATTTCTCAACTCTTCTAGATGTGCTTCGGCTGATCTTTTCACATTATCTTAATTTTTTCAATCCCGTAGATTCAGCCATGGCATTTGCTCAGTATGCAAATGGGAAATAAAAAATGGGAAAGTTTATGACCATCGGAATGTCAGTCTTCATTGCATTTTCACGACTGGAGACAGTTTGCGACGCATTTTGGTCCACCCGCTTTTTGGTGCAGCGCGGATCTCCGTTTCTCTATCAGCAGCCAGGAGTGCCTTGTTTTTAATGACAGAATCTCTAGCAACCTGGCAAAATAGCGTGTTTCCTTACATTAGAGTGGTACTCATTTATCTACCTTAGAAGCAAAAACGGCGAGTGACCTGACCGTTTGGAAGCTGGAAGTCGAGACGCCTGGTTTTGAATCAGATTCTCTACCGATTGAGAAGTCCCGATTTTACACTGCGTACGACGCCTTTTCCGCTGTTTTTAATTTTGGCCATCCGGTCAGTCAGTGATACGGAGGCAGCTGAACCTATAGTACTTTCAAAAACGCTATGACCTCCTTTTTCAGATATGCTTTTAGAAGCGATTCCTAGGAACTGACTTGCGGTCTGTAATTGCCGCGCTACAATCTCTGATTGATAAATTAGTTTAACTTGTATGTATATTTACGACCCTGATTCTTGCTGGAGAATAACATCCGGTCAGTCGACATATAAATTAACGTACAATTATAATTAACGTTCTGAGCAGCAGTAAAGAGATACAGTTTGTATTTTCATTAATGATTAGAGAATTGTCAAAAAAATATTTGCATATATGTATTGGCTTTATATTTGTCGCAATTTTAGGGTTAATTTCGCTACAGTGGAACTTGCAGCCGATAAAGGATCCTGGCGGTCGCTCAGGTTGGCATTCGTATACGGTTATGGGAAAGTTTCTGAATTTAACTCACTTAGGTAAATTTCTGCTTTT